TATTAATATTTTGTAATTCTTCAAAAATTATTTTATCTTCTCTATTCATCTTAGAATATATTTCTAAAGTTCTAAAAATTTTCTTCAATTTCGTTACTAGGCTCTGATACCAATTTTGAGGTAAACATGCGGAAAATAGTTAAAACATAAGACTGAGGGTATAATAAACAAAATACTCATAAAATGACAAAATTATGTCAAAGTAGTGGTAAATGGTGATGTACAAATAGCATTTTCCTACTTAATATCTTACTAATGAAATTTTCTTCTTAATGATTTTTGTTGACCCTACGGCCCTGTTTGATAGGCCATTATTTTCCATGAAAAATGGAAAACAAATTTCAACTTCCATTTTTACCTTATTTGATACACTTTATTTTCAATAGAAAATTTTTTCCACGGAAAATTTTTTCCACATTGAGCTCACATGCTCATCAATTCCTTGGTTTTGTGGAAAACCAATTCCCACCATTTTGGTTGGAATTGATTTTCCATCTTTTTTTTTTTTTAAGTAATTGGAAAATTGTTTAGATAAACCAACGGACACCAAACTTTAAACATTTTTCAACTGGAAAATTATACTAATCAAACACAATTAATTACAATTTCCAGTAAAACAATTTCAAGGTAATTCAATTTTTTAGAATTCATTTTCTTTCCGTCCATTTTTGACATTTGCAATCACACGGACCCTAAGTGATGTTGAGTGGGCCAAGCCCAATGTCTGTCTGCATTGGATCTCGGGCAGCACTTATGCCACCACTTTTCATCGTATAACGGCTATTTTTATCAGTCGTCCATAGGCACAAATTCAACAGAAGCAGCTGTACAATATCGAGTAGGTGATTCATCCATCAACCGGCCTCTTCAACTCGACCGTTACAACCTTGAATAAATGAAAAAATCTCTCACAGCTTAGATTCTCTCTCTACTCAGCGCTCTCTTTCTAGCTGTATCAAGAATAAAAGGGTGAAAAAGATAGGGTAAAATGACAGTGGCAAGCACCGCCACAAGCCGCTGCAAGAAAGCTGTGAAAATGGGTCTTTCGCTCTTCCGCCGTGGCTTCAATTCCTCCAAATGGTAATTAATTCTTTTATTTTTTCAATTTTGTAGTAGATTTACTTAGTTGAATAAACTTGGAAACTTTTAATTTACTTTCCCGAATATAAATAGCAAATCAATGGCGAAAATGGCGGTGGCGAGAATAAAGCTTCTGAGAAACAAGAGAGAAGCAGTTGTGAGGCAAATGAGACGCGACATTGCTATGCTTCTCGAGTCTGGTCAGGACGCCACTGCTCGTGTTAGGGTATTTTTTTCTTTTCTTTTTATTTTATCTGTTATTTTAGAACATAAATTTTTCATTTTTTTTTTCTATTATTGTTCTCTTCTGCATAATTATTGGCGTTGTTGATAGAATTCTTAGGTCCCAAGTTGTAAAGGAAATGTAGCTCAAAAGGTGGATTTCTTGTTAGATGACTTTGTTGATTATGTTGAATGAATTTTGCTTGGAAAGAGATATAGGTTTAAGCGATTCTTCACATGAAAGTTGAGTTAATTTGGCTATGATTTTCAGAAAGAAGTGCCTTTATGATCATGGCGGATTTCTGATATAGGTCGGGTCCTACTATAATTTGTCAAATCTTACATTATTCAGCCTTAATTATAGCAGGATATATAAGTTTCATAGTCTTATTTCCAATAAAGTCGTTGTCTTCGAATCCCTTTTTGTTTATTGATACGTGCACAAGAAGATGGAAGGAAGAATTTCCTACCATAGTTGCCATGTTAGTTTTCATCCCTCCATCTTTTAACTTGTTACACTGACTCACACTTACGAGTGATTTTCTCTTTATGTCGCTCTTATAGGCATCTCTTTATGCTTATCTAAGACATTGTGTTGCTCTTATGGGTGTCTCTTTATGCTCACCTAAGACATTTTCCCACTACAAAACTGGTCAATTCCTTATCCTCAATCCTTGTAACCTCAACTTCACACTTGTACATCGTTCGTTACCATTAACTTTTATGGTATGTTGTCCCTTGCCAAGGTTTTGTCACAAAGTTACTATGGTTATGTAGGTCGAACATGTAATTCGAGAACAGAATATTATGGCTGCAAATGAGTTCATTGAGCTTTTCTGCGAATTAGTGGTGGCCAGACTTTCTGTCATTGCAAAGCAAAGGTGTTATACAAACCCTATTTCATTTGAATCATTAAGATTATTTACGTGATAAAATCTCATCACAATTTCACTACTCAGAGAGTGTCCAGCTGATCTGAAAGAAGGGATATCAAGTTTAATATTTGCAGCTCCTCGGTGCTCAGATATTCCTGAACTTTTAGCAATTCGAGATGTTTTTGAGAAGAAATATGGGAAGGATTTTGTTTCTGCAGCTACTGATTTACGACCAAATGCTGGTGTTAACCGCACGGTATTTATTCCTACCTTCAACAGTATATTCTATGAATCAGATTCAGTTTACACTCTAAATTGTTGAGCTAGAAAAATAACACGCTCTGTTTGAGATATGTTTACTTCTTTGCAAATTCTTCGTTGCAAGTAACACTTCCATTTTTTTTTCATGTACACGTGTAATTGTTTTCATTGAATGAATTATTGCTTTCTGTTTCAGCTCATTGAAAAGCTCTCAATTAGGTCCCCAACTGGTGAAACAAAGTTGAAAGTTTTGAAGGAAATAGCGAAAGAATATCAGGCTAATTGGAATACAACAGAATCGGAGACCGAACTACTTAAGCCTCCAGAAAAGCCTATAGTCTCTCTCTCTCTCTCATTCACACACACGAATACATGCACAAAAGCCATTAGGTTGCACCCATGTAATTAAATTTCTATTTCCACTTCACTTAATCTCTACTCTCTCTCTCTCGCTCTTATTTATTTTTATTGTTTATGTATTAGGAAGGACCAAACAACTTTGTAAGTGCCAGTAGCTTACCATTGAAGTCAATCCCTGAGAAATCTCCTGAGCCGAATATTTCAACACGCAGGTAATCTTTTTTCTAATAGGAGCATTTGAAACTAGTAATTTTTCTTTCAAACGTGAAATTTCACTTCAATAGTTGATGTTGAATATAAATAGCTTATTTTTCAACTTCTTACCCCTGGAAAAATAGATGCTCGAACGATGAACAGAGCAATATTGTGCACTATGAAAACCCAGCATCAGCTGCTGAAGCAGCTGCCAAATTTGCAAAGAAAGCCACTTATGCTGCTGAAGCGGCTGCCATTTTGGCCAACAGAGACATAAATGTGTCAGGTAATTCTCGTGCTATGAATAATGGATATGCTGTCCAAAAGAGTATGAAGGACAGTAGTTTTGGGAATTCTCGTAGTCTCAGGGTTGTGGAGATGAGGCCCCATGATGTGGATGCTCAAAATATTCATAGAAGACATAGCTATAATATTCCATCAGCACATTCAGATATTAAGTACGATGAATCAGATTATGATGAAGAAATCGAGATGGAACCAACAAGTGGGGTTCCAAAGTTGGCCAAACAAAGTACTAATAGGGATAGCAGAAAGATCTATAAAAGGCACAGCGACAACTACAGTGCTCCAACTGGACACTCAGATATTAAGTTTGATGAGTCTGATTGTGATGATGATCCATACGAGGTGGACGAGTTTATAAGAGGAACTAATCTACCACCCGAACTGCCTACACAGGAGCAGTTTCCAGTGAGACGCGTGCATCCCAAATTACCTGACTACGACACACTTGCTGCTCGTTTTGAAGCACAGAAACACCACAGACCACCAACCTGAATTCTTTTTAAGTAACTTCTGAATATAGCTTTATGATTTCTATGCTTTATATGCAATTTGTTATTCTAAACTTCTAAAGATAATAGTATATATATCAGTGTGAAGCTGTTTAGCCGACCACTCTGTATTATTTGTTTGTGTTTGAAATTCGAGTTTTTCACCCTTACAAGTTATGTTGATTTTCAGTTGCATTTTTGTCTAACAATCTTCCTCGAAGTTTTTAGAAGTCAATTTTTTTTTTTCCATTTCTAGTTAGTCGCTCCTCGACGTAGTTTCATGGGGCCCAAAGTGCCATGTCATTTTTTAGCACGTTGGACCAGTTACGACGAAGAATGGGGTAATTTCTCTTTTACAAGTTCTTAGAAACTCGACTTTTTCCCTGAACTTGAGCATGTGGTAGAAAGGAAGTTAAAGTTGGTGTTGACAATGGACAGGAGTGGCACTACTAAATGAGTGGAATTAAGCTGAATGTACAGAAAAATTGTGTCAAGAGGTTATACAGATTACTCACATGATGTGGGTCCCACCTAATTTAAATATTATTTAAAAAATGGACCGCACATGTATTGTGTCTTCCCTGTTTTCTTTCCTTTCTGTAGGGCAAGGGTTCTTGGTAGTGTCTATCTTATCTCTATGATCATTTTCGGAATACTTTTGACTCGAAAAATATGTTTGATATATAATATTGAACAATATTATTTAAAATAGTTATGTTTTCTTTCTTAATGATGTGCATGATAGGTAAAATAAACTCAATAAAATTAAATATTCTACAGAATGTAAAAATAAATCGATCTGAGATTTGCTTTTATGCAAAAAAATAACTCAAAAGGATAGTTTCATTTTCCGTCCGTTTATAGCAAATCATGTGGGAATTTTTTGAATAGTAATTTTTTGGAGAATATATAATTAGCCCCTGTTTGAGCCACATTATTTTTTTCATTCTCGTTTTTCTACTTATTTTCAATTACACATTTTTCAATAAAATAATATTTTTCATCACGTCATTAGTTTCTATCTTCTTTTTCAATCACATATTCCCCATCACATCAATAAAAAAAATGCATTCTTGACCCCAAAAACTGCACCAAACAGGGGTTTAGAAAGTAGAGAAAAATTTTGGATTTTTTCGTGTAAAATATTTTATTGTGTAAATGTGTGGTTGGAAACAAGTATGAAAATTAAATTGTTTTATTTTAAAAAGAGCCGAACAAGAGCTAATAGTATTTATAGCCATAGCGACCCTGTGAAAAAATAATAATAATAATAATAATAATAATAATAATAATAAGTATTGGACCGACCTCTAAATAAAGGTGTTATTGTCTCGTAAAAATCCTTATTTAAATTTGATGTATCAATCAGATAATTTATTTTTGAAAATATCATTCAACTTTTCAAGACAAACTCCAATGGCTTTTGACTATCTCCAGCAGGTTGGATTCGAAGAATATACTAATTTCTTATAGTCATCACTTGTATCATGTCCTAATTGATCCATATCCTCATTTCAATTATTTACTTTTATAATCCAAATATTACTTATTTAATCTCTAATTATTGCTTTTTTGAATTGCTTTTTTACAAAATAATAATATTTTAATATGTGTACAGCGTTACCGATTTGCCGCATACGATGAATGTTATCTTGTGGCAGCTTGTGGTCATCCTCATGTTGTCCACGTCTATACACGTGAATTCCACGTCACCCTTTGGATTGGATCATTTAAAATTTCCTAAATTAGAAATTAATTCTACAAAATATCAAAACTTTGAAAATTTCTATGCACTCCAATGTTAAAATAACTATAGTTTGTAACGGATTAGAAAAAGAACTATGTTTCCCTTATTGGAGTAATAAAATTATGATCGAGATACATATTAAAGAAGCATCGTGATTGCGCTATTTACGTCATGACGGGTGTTAATATGAAATCAAGAATGTCTTGTCATGACACTCTTGTATATTTAATGTCATGGTTTTCACAATGCTCTAATTGTTTATTTTGATTTTTTTTAATGATATTTTGAATAGTATTTTTTGGAGATTGTGTGATCGAAAATGATGGAAAAATTATGGATTTACGTGCAGAATATTTCATTGTATGAATGCGGTTGAAAATGATCGTATAACAAAAATTAAATTAAATTAAAGATTGTCAAACATGGGCTTATATTATAGATAAAAGTTAAATTTTTAATAGTCAAACTTTTTGAGTCAATATTGTTACGCGCTGCAACGAAAGATGCCTCAGTCGTTGAAGCATCATTTAACAAGAAGAAGCATAGAACCATAATGAGTGATGCTACAAGAACATAATTGTCTACATAATGGTCTACATAATATCAAGTGACATTGATCAAAACTTTTAATTCAAATCTGACACTTTTACATCAACGACAGAATGATTGCCACATCACATTATGTCATTCATTATGTACATTTATTATGTACACTTAGCATCTTCCAACCATAATACTTGACGAAAAAATAAAAAAATAAAAAAAATTTAAGGCCTATGAGTACGCCTAGATATGACTAAAAATCCCCTAAACAGTTCTATAAAAAGGGTCATTTGCACAACTGAAAAGGGTTGAAAATTTAATATCCGAATTTCGACTATCTAAAGGTCACCTCAAATCAAGGCAAAATTAAGAGCCAACATTCTCGAAAGTTTCTAAAATTCTTTATTCGAGAAGCACTTTCCGCCCAACACAACTCCGAAATATCCTTTCTTTTTTCTTTCTACAAAATTTGGCTCCTAAACACCAAAAAATAGGAGCAATACCTTGATAAAATTTCGTTAGAAAGCTTTATAGTTGACTTTGAAAATTAATTTATATCTTTTGAGGTAAACAAAAATTTAGATTTGAGTTTTTCGAGATAATATAGAGAGTAGTCCTGCCATTATTCCAAGAGTAATGTTGTTCATAACGAGTGATTATCACAGTCATTCTATGTTGCATATATTTATTCATAATGAGTGATTACTGTAATTATTTTATGTGATATATATTTAATCAATTAATTTATTAATCGATAATGTTAACTAGGGATGATTGAGTGTGTAAATACATGTCACCTCAGACGGCTACGATAATTTGCTTATTATGAATAATATTACTCTAATCGAATTTCTCAATTTCAAAATAATAATAATTTCCTTAATATCCACGTGCGGAGCACATGCAGTAGAACTATTCAAATTTCCATTAATTTTTTTCTGAAAGTATTCATTTTTCATTAATAAAAGGGCGCATCTGAAACTAAATTCGCACAAAAGGAAATTCTCTCTCTCTCTCTCTTCCTCTTTTATATTCTCTCTCGATCAATCTCCATCTTCAAAAACAAAACAAATGTACTAATCATCATTAAGAAATGTTAATGATTAACTAATCAAGCAAAATCTTCATTTTCTCTCTAGAAAACTAGTTTAATTTCGGATTTAGTGTGATCCTGTAAAACTATAATGGTGGCTATGGATGATACGGAGAGCTGCGGCAGCCGAGCCACGGAGCCGGGATCCCCAAAGAAGAGTAGCCAGCAGAGACAGCGGCTCGAAGTTTTTCACGAAGTGCTCAGCCGGCTCCAGGATTTGAATCACGAAGAAGCAAAACTACCCGGCTTCGAAGACCAGCTATGGCTGCACTTCAATCGTCTTCCTGAAAGGCAATCTTTTTATTTATTTGTGTTAATTTTGAGTTGGAATGATTGAATCTTGGATTGCATGTTGAAAGGTTTAACGGGTCGAAGTAATTCAACCTGAGATTTTACTCATGCCCTTTGGCTTGTTTGAGAGTGGAATTGTGTAATTCCACTGTTCATTTGAGCTCTGATCAAATTACTAATCTGGTAATTTACTGCTCATTTGAGGTTTAGAGAATTACCATACCGAGTCTTTGGTTCCATGTGAATAGTTCAACATAAGCACGTCTAACACTGATTAATTTTTTTAGTTTAATATTACTTTTGAATTGAATGGTGGTGATATGTACAGATATGCATTGGATGTGAATGTGGAAAGAGCTGAAGATGTACTGACGCATAAAAGATTGCTGCATTTGGCGGAGGATTCTGCTAATAGACCTGCCTTCGAAGTGCGCCTTGTTCAGGTATACAGAAATTTTCAGAAAAATTGAATACTTAATTGCTTGTTTATGATGCTATTTCCCTCTAAATGAAAAAGGATAGCACCAGTTCTGCCTGCTAGATGACCATTTTATAAGATATGGTTTTTAGGTTGGATATTGTTGTCATTTGAATATTTGCGCCAAGCTATGGTTTGGTATGGCGAAGTTAAAATACCTATAATAATTACCATATACAGGTTCCTCCTGCGTTTGATGGAAATTCAGCAGATGCCGATCATATGGATTCTTCAGCAAATGAAGATGGTCAAAGTTACTCTAGTCGTTCTCCTAGCCGGCAGGGGTAGTTCCTGATTTGTGTGCTACTCGTTGTCTTACTGTTAATTTTTCTTCTTTCTTCTTTTCCCCAATTTGTATTTCTCCCGATATATTTTAATTTCAGCTGCCATCTTTTGCATTCTCTTCCATCCAGAATCCATCCTCCACCTACCTTTGGTTCAGCAGCAAATCTTGAAGCCCTTGCCTTTCAAGCTAATGGAAGTCATGACAATAATGCAAATAGTGATGTCAATTCAACTTCACGAACTCCTCGGTAAAAAATTGAAACAGTTTACTTTGTTCATTAGCTTTTGTATACTGTAAAATTTTCTTAATGCAGGGACTAAAATATGGTAAACACAAACTTATCTAACCGTTCGTCTTGATGTCGCCTTTGAAATCTGATTGTAGAAACTGGAAAATGATATTCTCGAATCATGACATTTGATTGAGAAAATGGGGACACTGTCTTGCATTCTAAAATGTTCCTTATCCAACTTACCCCTCCCCCTCGTCCATTTGGAAAAGAAAACCAAAGAGAAGAATAGACTAACAAAAGAAAGAAAGCAAAAATCGTATTGCAGTTATTATCT